CTCTAAGTCGAATAATTTTCGTAAGCTCAAGCGTTTGACTAGGTTTCAAATGTGTTTTTATCTCTCTAAGTCGAATTTCCCTAACTCGAATTTCTCTGTAACTCGAACTGAACTACTATGGAATTTCTTCAACTTTTACTTCTATAAGTCGAATTTACCAAAGAATAAAATATTCGGATCCGTTCTGTAAGTAATTTTAGCTGCAGAATCAAACCACATAGACTCTGGCTCAGAAACTACAGACTGAACCAACTTGAACCAAAACAAACCTAATATTTTTATTGTTTCAGAATCAGATGACGGTGATGATAATCTTGAAAATGAAATACTTATCGCTGTGCCTACATTTGATGAAGCTTATTCTTCTCTTAGAAAGCTTGAAACCTTTGTTTTATTAAGAGAGAATGTTTCAGATAATATTCATAATTCTTTACATTTAATAGAAGATTTTTTCGACAAAGAACGGTTGTCCACTTTAAGCCAAAAGGAAATTACGGATTACTTTAAAAATCTTGATTAATTTTCTACTTACAATAGTATTAAGGTTTCTGTTTTAAATATACGTATTAGAAAAGTATTTCTAATGTTTTTCTTTAGAGCTGAAATTCTACTAATTTTTCTCTAACTCGAAATCTCTATAACTCGTTAGTTAAGTTTTCTTCCGCTCCCTTAGTGATTCGAGTTAGGGGAATTTCACTGTAAGTTCGTTTTGTATCTTGGATCCAAATAAATTGACATATCTTATCAGGATATAACCGGATATCCAGCCGAAAAAAACATCCACAAAAATTCCTTCTTTTAATTTTGCCTCTGACAAATGTGAAAACTGTGTGGAGAGGTATTGAAAGTAGTCATCAGTGTTGGGTAAAGCTTTGACGAATTGTTTTATGAGTCCTAACTTGATGTGAAGAGGGGGAAGATAAATTTTTCTAGGATCGACTAAAGCTTTGTGCAAAACGTTCTTTACACCTGGCCCTAATGTTTGTTAGGTTGGCCATACTTTTTTTAGTCCTGTGTTCATTCCTTGCTCTACAATCCAATTCACAAATGAAACTAACCAAGCGTCATGCCCAAAACTTTCAGATCACCACAAACTATCCAGTTATGATCTGTACATATATTTAATTTTATTTAGCACCTCTTTCAAATACTCGTGATTTTTTTTGAGATGTACAGAATACACTAGGGGAAAGGGAAGCGTATGTGTTACCATTGTGCAGGAGTACAGCCTTCAGGTTTCTTTTTGAAGAATCAAACTTATCAGCTTAGTATTCAACTCCAAACTTTTGAACCAAACCAGGAACATCACAACAGTAGACCAACTCCTCTTCTTGTTTGAAATACTCAGTAAATTCACGATCTCTAAATCTGTACTGATAAAAACATGTTCCAGCAGCCAGTAGCTCTTGCAAGAGAGGAGATCTTGGAAATCACAGTAATCTTCATTTAGCGTTGCTGAAAGCTGAGGTACAAGCACATCTGGTCTATGAGCTACAGGTCGCATTGCATCTCTTTTATTCTTAGAGTTATAGCCATTAAAATCATAGTAGCAAAAATGAGAGTCATCCCTGTGATTTTTTGGTTCCCTTCACACCATGGGAATGCCAAATTTGACTGATATTACCTTTCCGAGATCTTCTACACAAATATAACCGACTTTGTGAAGTGCCCATTATTAGGTCTCACTAACCGACTAAACAAAGCGCCAGCAGACGCTTTGTAACGCTCAATTATTTGTGTTTACTCTTTCTGACTAAAGTTATGAAGGCATTCCGAGGAATGACAGTAAATTTCAGTCAAACAAGAGAATAATTATTTTATTACAGCGTTAAATGACGGATTACGGCGTTTGCCTACAACATATACATTACAAGAAGATCTAAGATATTGTCAGATATAAAATGTCTAAAAGAATCCAATGTAGAACGCACATTTCTAGTTCTTTTTGATAAGACATTTTTCTTTACGAGCGAATTCGGCGCTATGTCGCGCATAATGTAATTGTACCGGCTTATCTTCAATTTCATCGTCAGTACATTCACTAGCACTTGTGAAGCGCTCTTGATAGAATCGTTTTCGTCAGGTTTTTCAGAACACTCTTCAGCAGCTTCCTCAGTTTTCGACACATCACTAAATGCTTCGTCCAGAGGTAACTCACGATAGTTTTCATCATTCGAACTACTAATAAGATCCTCGAAAAGCTCTTGGTCTGTTCGAGGACTCTTTATGTCCCATCTTTTCGATATGAACAAACACACACAACAACACAACACAGAATTTTCCATATAACAGATTTTTGGTGATAACGGACACTTCCGTCCCTGTATTAGTCCGTTATATCGAGGTTTTGCCGTATTAGTTTATAATTTTTGGATTTATGTTTCGGTAAACTTGAACATTGTAAATATTGAAAGGAGCTTTTAACAAGCCTCTTTAGCTCAGTGGTAGAGCACTGGTCTCGTAAACCAGGGGTCGTGAGTTCAAACCTCACAGGAGGCAAAATATTTTTTATTTTTTTTTATGTTAAAATGAATTAAATAACTCAAAATAAATCATTAAGAAACGTTAATTATCGAAATTGTACTTTATTTGAACTTAAATTAAAAAATATATTACAAAAAGAAAAAATTAAGCTCTTTATTTTTAAAGAATTTGAGCTTTTTTTTGCCTCCTGTGAGGATTGAACTCACGACCCCTGGTTTACAAGACCAGTGCTCTGCCACTGAGCTAAAGAGGCTCTCTATATATTCTTATTTTACCTATAAATACGAATGAAAGCATTAAAAACTAAAATTCTTTACATTTTTAGATGCATTTTAAATCAAATTCTTAGTAAATAATGTGTAAATTATCGTAAAGTAATGTTTTAACAGATAACACAAACAAAATGTATCACACACGTCTATATTTAATAATAAATATAGTTAAAAAACCCCTTTGACAGTTAAAAAATTTACCTGACACAGCTTGAAATAGTGACACTTGATCCTTTTAAAAAATAAAATCCCCAATATTCTTTAGTATCATCTTCTAACATCAGATGGCGTACCATTGTTAAATGCTTTTTATCTTTTTCCACTTCTGGGTTGGTTGGTAATAGAAAAGCGTTGAAGGTTGCGTTAACTTTTATAATTTGTTTCTTAAAAATTAAAAAAAATGCAATTATTAAATCAAAAAGAAAAAAAAAAGAATATATTTACTTGGCACCATGTTGTTGAAACTCTATTATCCAGCATTCTCATATCTGAAGCTGCTAATGGGTACATTTGTTCAACAAACACTCTGTATCTCATGTAGAGGACAATTACGCATAGAAGGCATGGTAAAAGTATGCCGAGTAAGCAAAAGCGAATCACTCGAAATGGACCTTTAAAAGTTGTTGATTTTTTTTCTGGCTGTGAAAGTTGGCGTTTGAAATCTAAGAGGCGCTCTAAAAAAAATTGAAAAAATTGTCTGAACTTTTGTTATATTATATTATTTTATTATATTACTAATTAGTTACTTATTTTTTGACATTTTGGTACACAAAATTAAATAAAAGAATGTTTTGCAGCTTTTCTCAATGGCCCAGTCTGCTTTACATTTAATATACAATAAGAAAAACTACAATAAATAGGTATAGGAATATCTATAGATAATTTGTAGACAATTAAACTCTGTCGGGTTGGGTTTTTAACCACCCTGTATATTAATGTATTATTGGACAAGAATATCTAAATAATATTATGAATGAAACGAATCGAAATAAATCAAAACATAAGTTGTATTCCTTTGGAAGAAATAAAATTAAAGTTATTGGAAAGAAAACTCTAATATGTCTTCATAAAGGAAAAGAATATCCTGTTAATTTTCAAGTGGCCCACTTGTCGCCGATACATGTGTAAATCTGGGTATTGTAAAATTTTTAATACAATAATTAGTAAATAATTTGGATTCTATTGAAAAATTAGAAAATGAAGCATACATGATTATAGAAAAATAGAAAGATGTATTCCAAGGTTATGGTTGTTTAGAAAATTCAATCAATTTAGAAGTTGATGAAAACATCTCCGAGATAAATGAAAAGACGAATTAGATAATCTTATAAAAAAACAAAATAATAGAAAAAGTAGATGAACATACCGAATGGGTAAGCAATATCTTAATTATACAAAAAAAAATAACAAATTAAGGATTTGTCTTAACACAATTTACTACTATTGATGAGATACTACCCGAACTATGAAAAGCAAGAGTTTTTAGTATCATTGACGCTAACAAAGGATTTTAGCAGATAAAATTATCCGAAAGCAGCACCAAGCTTACAACATTTTGGACGCCTTTTGCAAGGTATAAATGGTTACGAATGCCATTTGGTATCTCACCAGCACCCCAAAACATTCAAAAAGGAAATGTGTCAAATGTTGAATGATTAAATTGTTGGCTGATGATATTTTGATAATTGGATATGGAGACGACCAAAAAGAAGCATTGATAAACCATAATAAAAATTTGGAAAATGTACTTATTCGTCTTAAAGCACATAATTGTTAGTTGAATTTGGATAAATTATGTCTTTGTAAGGACAGTGTAAAATTTTACGGACATATTTTGACAAATCAAGGACGAAAACAAAGTATTAGCAATCAAAAATTTTCCAGAGCCTAATACCAAAAATGATTTACACCGTTTTCTTGGTATGATTACCTATCTTAGTAGATATGTAAAGAATTTTAGCAGTGAAATTCATCATTTAAGAAAATTATTAAAAAACGACGTAGAATGGAATTGCTCAGAAATGCAAAAACAAGAATTCGAAAATATAAAAAATTTACTAACTTCCAATAGAACGCTAAAATATTTTGAAAACGGATTGTTATCGAATGTGATGTAAGTAACTATGAATTGGGAGCAGCTGTTTATCAACAAAATATAATAATAGGATTTGCTTCAAGAACTCTAACAAGCACAGAAAGAAATTATGCGCCCATAGAAAAAGAAATGTTAGCGGCGTCTATCAGATTCGATCAAATGATAGTTGGTAACCCTTAAACAATAATAAAAACGGACCATAAACCGTTGATCAATATTTTTCAGAAACCTTTAATAAGTGTACCAAAAAGACTACAAAAAATGCCCATGACGCTGCAAAGATATAATTTAGATCTACAATTTGTTACTGGCAAAGAAAACATAATAGCAGATGCACTGTCTCGTGCACCTTTACCATCTACTCAAAAACAAAACAGAACATAAAACATCCGAAAAAAGCATTTTCAAAGTTTTAGATGGGATAGATCTTTCGAAACAAGTCAGCGTGTCTGAAGAACGATTAAACGAAATTAGAATAGAAACAGTAATGTATCCATGTCTTGTCAAAATAAAAGAATACATTTTGACGGGATGGCCCAATACGATATACGAGTTACCAGATGAAGTAAAGAGATACAATTCTTATAAATATGAACTTACTTATCAAAATGGAATTAGTTACAAGAATCAACAGATAGTTATTCCTTTCAAACTTGGACGAAAAATTCTAAAAATGTTACATACAAGCCATAACGGTATAGAAGGAACGATTAATATGGCAAGGAGGGATATGTTTTGGCCTGGAATGTCGACAGAAATTAGGAATGTTATTAAAGAATGTACCGTGTAGATTCCAGTCCATGCAGATACACCCAATTCCTGAGTTTCCTTTTCAACATATATTTATGGATGTGTTAACCACAACATACAAAGAAAAGAAAACATATTTCCTTATCACCGTTGATCATTACTCGGATTATTTTGAATTAGATGTTTTGAAAAATTTGTCTTCACATGTACTTATTAATGTATGCAAACAGAAATTCAGTAGGCATGGAATTCCACAAAGAATAGTGAAGAATTTAAAGTTTTTACAAAAACTTGAAATATTTGCCACTGCACATCTTCACCTCATTATTCACAAGCAAATGGGAAAGCTGAGGCTACTTACTGTAAAAATTGCGAAACGATTAATTAAGAAATCAGAAATGAATAATGAAGATATATGGCTAAATTTACTACATCACCGGAATGTACCAAACAAAATCGGTACAAGTCCTGTTGAAAGATTGTAAGTAGATTAACTAGAACGTTATTGCCATTTGCAACTAAAAATTATTTACCAGTTATAATAAAAGACGTACCGTTAAAAACTCGTCTCCCTAATTTAGTCATTGGACCGCCAGTAATAGCTCAACTAATTCCAAAGTTAAATAAAGAATGGACACCTGGTAAAATTGAAAAGAAGTTAAATGACATCATATATCGTAAATGTCGAAGGTAAAGAATACCATCGAAATGCAATTCATGTCCAGCTGCTAGTAGCCTTGCTACTACCCCTATTTCCTATAATAATCCTATGCCTGATCATGACGAAACAACACAATATGAAGATGAGACGAATAGGATGAAAAAGAAGCAGCAATAGAAGAACAGAAATCTAAAGGTATAAATATAATGAAAGAAAATATTTCAACCAATGTTCATCCAGAGAGGGAAGAAGAAAAGGAAAATCTAATGAAAACCCCGATTAGGACGCGACCGTAAAGAGACATTAAATTACCAAATAAATTGAAAGACTTCCTTATGCAACTATTAAAAAAAAATAATAATGGCATGTTATAATATATAATGATTTTCTATGTTAAGCGGATGGTAATAATTTTAAAATGGCTGAACGGAATTTGATAAGCTTAGTAACGGTGAAAAGAGCTTTTCTTGGACTACATTCCTACCTCATTTGTCGTATGTCGCCACTAGAAGGCATTTCACGATATTACAAAAGAAATTGTGAATTTTCTTAGAACAGATAAATCTATTGCTAATACTTTATTTCATGAAAAAAATAGCAAAATGAAGCCCAACCAAGCTAGTGACAGCCGCGCCTGAATATCTTGTTCCTAACCTAAACTATAGGTGAAAGAAGATTTTATGAGATAATTCACTGAATTTTGACCAGTTGGTCAATCATTTACCGATTTTGTTAGAAGATGTTCCACTGGAAACACGGCAAAATTTGTTCTTACAACTGGACGGTTGTCCAGCACATTTTGCTATAAATGTGGTGTTTCAAGAGCGATGGACCAGAAGAGGAAGATTATTTGCATGGACAGCCAGATCACCAGACTTAACTTGTTTGGATTTTTATTTATAGGGCCGATTAATGGTGTTTTACACTCAACCTACAACCAGATAAGAAAATAGGATTCAAGAAGTATTTGACGTTTCGAGTGCCATGTTACAACCTTCTTCAGAAAGAAGTTCGAAGTGTTTCTCGGATGTTGCAACATATGGTATCCGAAACGTCAAACACTTTTTCAAAAGACGCACGGCTTAACCCGAAAGTTTCTAGGTCTAGTGTTAGTTCTAGTGATAGTGGTACTATTAATTCTAGTTTTAGTTTAGAAAGATACAATTTTAATAGTTGACTACGTTGATGAATCATTAGCATTTGATCTAGTTTGTAGTTTCAAAAATCGCACCAGACTTTATCGAAAGCTTGTGCAATAAAAGAGAATACGGCATTTGTTATTCTATGCACTTGGTCTATTGTTGCATGTTTATTCAAGCCAACCCAACCCAACCCAAATTGATGTGTTGTTATTAGTGCATTTTCTTCTATGACAACTTTTAGTCTTTTTAATGGTAACTTTTCAAATAGTTTTAATAGTAACGGTAATAATGAGATTGGCCTATATGATGCAACAACTGTGGTGGGTTTGCCAGGTTTTGGCAGCAACTTTCCATATACTTGGGAAGTATTTTTGTTTAAAAGCAGCATTAATTATGTGTAATAGTTTTGCTATTGATTTCTTTATATTTAGTTTTTCTATATGTTAATGATCTTCATTTTGCTGTTATTTTATTTAATTTAGTTTTATCACCAGGAATTCTATTGGTTTACCATTTTTTTTTCAATTTAGGATATATTTTAGTTAATGTTATTTCCAGGTTCATCGTAAAATTATTTAAAAAATTTTAGGATATATGTTGGATTTAGATTTTGGTGTTAATATTGGTGTTGAGGCTCAACCTGAGTTTTGTATATCTTTTAAGAAATTTTCTACTTCCTTCTCCATGTCTTCGTTTGTTTTCATCAAAGCATTAAGATGAATTTTATTATCTAATGTTTCTTGAAATAGGTTCCAATCAGTGACTGGATACTAGACGAGATTGAAATCATTTGATTCATTAATAAAAATTGATTTTATCTTGATGGGTTCATCAAGATAAAAAAGTTTTAGATTTTGTCTTGATTGATGTCTACGGTTTTATACATAAACAATTTTAATTTTTTAATAAATTTAATTCATCTTTCAATTCGAAGTTCAACTATTCAATATAAAATACATAGTCATAAAAGATCTTATTTAAAATTTATATCAAAACATCAATTAAAAAAATTAGGTCGTGTAATTTTTTTTTTAATTTTAAACAATGAGATCTTATCCGTGTCATAATACGATTAAAATACCAATTCAAAATCTACTTTTATAATAAAGTGGTTAGATGTAATGTGAAAAGATAAATCTTTATAATACCGGTATAATACCCATATCATATTATTTGATAAAGTGCTGAGTTATGATTTGTTCTGATAGATTTATTTTTTAATTATATTAGATAAGTTCATAAATTTTTTAAAACACTAATATTTTGGGACATAAATATTTATTTTAGAATTTAAAAATCATCAAGTCATATTGTAAATATTTATGGGTAGTGATATAACTTGATATAATTCCATATAACATTACCTAACATGTATGTAGATATTATAAATATAGTAGGATAGTGTTATTTCATAGTCGGGGAATCACCGTATATGCAGCATAGTGAACTGGGCAAATTGGCTTTCAAATGTTATATCCTAATGGCGGCGTCATTAGGCTAAGTCATCTAGTTTCTTTACAAATAGTTTGGGTGTCTTATTAAGGATGTCAAATTAAGTTTTAGATACTCTAGATCTTATGACAAATTAAGCCGAGGTCACTTGCGGCAGAGGCTCAGTGATTAATATAATTTTTGACCATCCTGTATAAAATAGACCAACACAACTACATAATTACGTTCTTTTTTGCTTTTACATTGGCTGAAAATACTAAAAGAAAATGAAAATAAAAATAACTAGGAAATGATAAGCTTTAGGTATCAACAATCCTTATCAAAGTCAACTTATTTTTGTACTATATAGAATTTAAATATGTAATAAAAAAGAAGATGTTGCTGACTTTTTGGCGAACACTGTATAATACATGTTAAAGTATTACGTTTTACTTTAAATACTATTTCATTGTCTATAATGACAATATTATCACGGACAGTCTGTATAAATAGTGTTTAACTTTGTTTTCTTATCAAATTAAGTCCATTTGAAGTTGAAATTTGTACCCAGTCGTTAAAGACAAAACAATATTTACATAGAATAAGTAGCTTATCTTTAAATTCTTGGTGACGATTACAGAAATTTGTTAATTAATGACGTTTTAAATCTTATTTTTTTATTTTCACTTACCATTAAAGAAAGTTGTAAAACATAGACGACTTAACATCATTAATTTTTTTATACTGCGTCTTTTAAAACGCAATACAAAAAAAAAAGTAGAACAAATTTTTATTATCGACAAAAAAAATATAAACAAACAACATGTATCATCAATAAATAATCATCAAAATACTTACCTTCGTAAGGTTTATCGTTGTTAGACATCTCTATAACATTATTTTAAAATCACAAAACTTATTTTTTAATTAAAATGATTTATCACACTTTAAACACAACAACACGATACAATTTTAATAACAATATTAAGTGAGGTAAGTGCACAACCGGTTCAATTTTCAATGTTATTTAGTGTGACAGAGCCAGTTTTATTTCATTCTTATCAACTTATCAACCTTATTATACCCCGCTCTAAGTCTCTTGATTACTAATTTAGAAAACGATTACTTATTTTTAAAAGAAAAGTAGAATGTTCTATTTACATACAAGCGATCATCAAGGTGATTTATTATTAGAGAAAAGAAAAGAAATAAAACAGTAACAGATATATCTACAAATTTTAAAGTTATAAATTTTTTTAAGATTTTCAGATAAGAATTTATAATAATAAAACTACTAAATAATAAAATGGTATAGCTGTCCCGATTGCAGACGGTTGGACTGATAACAATGTTAATAATGACGCGTTTTATGTGTGTATGTTTTATGTATCCACTCAAAGATAATATTTTTACGTTGAGATTAATGATGTACAATAAATGTATGCTTAGATTATAGATGTAGATATAGAAAAATTGGAAAAACATTTAATCTAAGCGAAAATTAAAGAAATTTAAAGATTAGTTATGTTAATTATAACAAACATAAATATGATATAGTTTTAAATTTAGAATTTAACAATTAGTATTGCATTTTTTAACACTTTACTGCATAATATAGCAAAATTGCAACATTTTTATCCTACTTAATAAATGCCTCGACGATCAGATGAGACTACAAAATTGGAACAATACAATACTGATATTGTTACACAAGAAAGGCGAGAAATTAGAACTAAAGAACTACCGACCAACAAGTCTCTTGTGCCAAGTATATAAATTGCTCATGAAAGTAATAAATACACGGCTAACGAACAAATTCGACTTGTACCATAATACAGAGCAAGCAGGTTTCAGGAATCTTCAGATCTTAAATCGTATCCCTAAAAAATCTTTAGTAAACTGCACTAGAAAACTGTAGAATTGATTCAAGATATACTGAACTTATCGAAAACATTGATAAGAGACTCCACATAGAAACGTAAAGAATCAAACTGGAAAGACGCAGAAGACAAGGAGATACCATATCGGCAAAGTTATTTACATTAGTACTAGAAGATATATTCAAGACACTACATTGGCAAAACCGTGGAATTAGTATCGAAGGACAAAGACTAAATAATCAAAGATACTCAGATGATGTGGTACTCATAGCAGATGATCTAAAAGAACTGGAAATAATGATACATGAACTAAAGGAAAAATCAGAAGGAATAGGGGTAATAATGAATATGAATAAAAGCTACCCAATGCCACATGAAACCACAGTGGAAGACGTAATGGATACAATATTGAAAGTGAAATGGCGTTGGGCGGTTCACATCGCTAAGATGGAGAGATGAACAAGAACAAACAACTTAATGGAAACCGTAGTCAGAGAAGTAGGTGTCATTTTGCGCTGGTACCATGATATAAGGAAACACCTAGAAAGAACATGGATGAGTGGTGGAAAACAGAAAACATGGACGAGAAATGCTGAAAAGAGAGAGATCCAATTTATATTACCCAACCCAATCAAGTACTAATTATTTAAAAAAAAACGTGTATCGACTAAAATATCTCACAAACAAACAAAACAATTAATAAATAGACAGGTGAAATATGATGAGGCTGTTACAGGTCTTGAAGAGGAAAACGTAGTATTTTGTTAGAGATGGTATTAATCTAAGCTTTCACCTAACAGTACAGTACATAAACTTGGTTGAGTAAGCTATGGTTGGTATAAATTTGATTAAGTTCTTTTAACTGAGAATGGATGGTGAAACATAACTTTATTAAATTGCACTTAAAGTTGCATTTAAACGGGCACATGACCCGTTTAAATGATGAGGTTTCAAAAGGGAACGATGGAGGCAACAATAGAAGGAAAGAGGAGGGGCAGAACGAATTGGCTGGACCACACATATCAAGAGTGCAATTCAGTCGTAAGGGAAAAGGCAAAGAAGATTTTCAAAATATGGTGCAGCAACTCCATAGTAATCATCTTGCTTGGCTATCTGTTAGCAATATCTGGTCTTCTCCAACTAGTATATAGTCCATTTCAAGCAGTATCTAGTCTCTGTCATGCTCCAAACTGTGTATAATCCTCTGCTACAGTTTCTAATTCTCTGTAAACAATATCTAGTCTAGTACAAACTATATATAATCTTCTGTTGACAGTATTCGGTATTCTGCAAGTAGTATCTAGTCTATTTCAAGCAGTATCTAATCTCCATCATGCTCCGAACTGTGTATAATCCTCTGCTACAGTTTCTAATTTCCTGCAAACAATATCTAGTCTTCTACAAACTATCTATAATCTTCTGTTGGCAATATCTGGTCTTCTGGAAGTAGTATGTAGTCTATTTCAACCAGTATCTAGTCTCCATCATGCTCTGAACTATGTATAATCCTCTGCTACAGTTTCTAATTCTCTGCAAACAATAACTAGTCTTGTACAAACTATCTATAATCTTCTGTTGGCAATATCTGGTCTTCTGGAAGTAGTATGTAATCTATTTCAAGCAGTATCTAGTCTCCGTCATGCTCCAAACTGTGGATAATCCTCTGCATGCGGTATCTAGTTTTCTGCAAACAATTCATTCTTATAGCTAGTATCTACAAATTCATAAAATACTGCGCCTCATGGTATAAATGCAGATGTTTAAAATAATTTTAACGAAATAAACTTTGAAAGCAGTGATATAAATTCCCCAGTGGATGACAGTGATGTTAACAGAGGCTACTAACATAAAAAACATGGAGAAAAATCAACAGTCAAATGACTTTTCTTATTTTTGTGGCATATCATAGTGTTGCCGTTTTAAATTCTTTATGAGTAAGCCAGGTTGTTATTTTAGCTTGTTATAGTATCACCTTTTCATTACAAAGCGGAAATATAAATGATTCAGATGGGAAAACAAAGAGCAGAACATTAAAAAGTGATAGGGCTGAAACATTTGCACAATCAAAAATAAAAATAAGAAACAATCTGGGACAGCAGTGTATTAATGACTAATGAGCAAAGACTATTGCAGCTTGGGAATTATAACTCCTTATAGTTGTAATAAAAGGTGTAGAGAACTACTCCTTGGATTCATTGATATAGCAAAGAAAGAGATTTAGCTGAAAAAGCAAAAACGATAAAACTTGCCACGCCGTTTTTTCTATTAATATTAATAAGCAAGCTGTACTACTTGGGAAACGGAATTTCTGAACGTTCAGGGTCGGCAAAATTCAAATGAAGCAGAGCCACTTTCTTAGTTTAGACATTTTTACCACTTTTTTTTTTCACTGCTACATTTAAACTTGCGATTGAGCGTATTTTTTTAGTTTTTAGTTCAGAATGTTCCTTTGTTTGTTAATATACAAGTGTTAAAGTCACCTGATTTTGTAATAAATCATCTATTTTTGTAATTTTTACATATTTTTAAATATCATTTCAATATACTCAGTAGACTCCTCTAGTTGTGTTAACTAATATTAACAAACCAAGAGAAAAAAGACATAAACATTAATTTTAATTTTCAACAATTTTCTATTTATGACTTGTTATTATTTTACACTAAGCCCTTCAATTATTATTTTCATAAAAAAAGCCTTGGTAACATTTTTCATTAACTTTATGGGTATGATATAAACATATTTAATTCTGTTTGGAGGCATGCTTATCTAAATTTTTATTATCCTTATAAATTAATAAAAGAAATAACAATAAAACCATTTGTACGCAGCAAATACAGTATAAACATTTTTATGATATCATATATAACCAATCAAATAAAGTAAATTACTTTAATGATTTTTTTTTAATAATGTTTGTCATAATTCATCGTTTAGTCTCTTTATTAATCATTTCACCCCTTCGTCTTTTACTTATAGGATTTCTTGGATCATAAATTTCATACCAATCATCATCCTTTGTATTTGCATCTTTTGCCAGAATAACGTCATCAGTTTTAAACTTTAATTCATGAGACATCCTGTAAAAAAAAAAGGCAATATAAATTTATATTGATTAAATTGATTTACCAAGATTCATCATTATCCACATCATCATTATCTTCATTTTCTTCCTCATTTTTACTCGATTCGGAGTTTTCTTTAACTGTGTGTAATTTATTTTTAAATTTTGATAATAATTCCAATGTAAATTCTTCCCTTCCGGCTCCTTTTTTTGGTAAAGTTTTCTTTTTATCTTTATATTTATTAAATTCAGTTTTATATTCTTGCACCGTTATACTATTGGTGTCTTCTTGAGTAGTTTCTAAATCTTTAGATTCATCTACCTTTTTAAGTTTATTTTTATGATAATCTCTTTTAACATTTTCAATTTCTTTTCTGACCTCCTCCCTAACAAAATTAAGAATGAATGTTATCTTACAAGGAAAAATTATTACAGTAAAACCTTGATATAATGGACAAAATATTTCGGACAAAGTTATACTATTAATATTATCTATTTAATAGTCTAATCAACCAACTATACGTAATCTAACACTTCTTAATTGGAATGTAAACGGCATCAACAAACAGCGAGCCATCCTTATAGCCTTCTTAGCAAGACATAACATAGCCATACCATGCGTAACAGAAACGCATTTAAGTCAATCAGAGAAATTGAATATACCAGGTTTCAAAACCTATCGCAATGACAGGCAACACAGAATTGCTTCAAGGGGAGCACATCACATCCAGTATGTTCGACAATATATAGAGCAAAATGTAATAACCCAAAGAAATTCAGGAAAAAACCAATTCATTACATAAGAAGAAAGCTGATGGCCATGACCTCATAACAAATATTATCTTAATAAACCTCCCAAGAAAATGTTATGCTTACCTAGCCAGCTTATTCAATGCATGTTTAGCAATTGGATACATTCCTGAACTATGGAAGCATGCTAATATACTATTATTCCATAAACCAGGTAAATACAAATCTAAACTAGAAAGCTACAGGCCAATTAGTTTATTATGCACGTTATCAAAACTCCTTGAGAAGATTATAAAAAAGAGATTGCTGGAGGAGTTACATAGACAACAGATATTACCACCTTTTCAATTCGGGTTTAAAAAAGGACACTCAACAAGTCATCAACTCCAACGAATAGTTGAAGTAATAGAAGATGGTTTCAAAAACAAAATGTATACAACAGCGCTCTTCTTGGAGATTACACAAGCTTTCGATCGAATTTGGTTGGAAGAATTGAAATTCAAGATCCTAAAACTTGATTTATCACAATACCTCAAATCAATCCGTCTATCTTTCCTGACAAGCCGAACAATTTTCACCAAAATCCACAACTGCTTCTCCTCCAAATCACCCATGCGAGCAGGTGTTCCACAAGACAGTGTCCTGGCACTTCATTTTTTTTAATTATTTTTATGCACGATATTACCTAAATTATTCAGAATGACATAGCTATGTTTGCGGATGATGCAGTCTTATTTACAAAAGATGAAGATCCATCCACAGCAATAAGGAAATTACAAACGGTTAAGACCAAGATAAACAAATGGCTCAACTTATGGAATTTAGATATTAACGAAGAAAAAAGTGCAGCAAAAATTTTCACATTAAGACGTATAAAAAAACAACAATTAGTAATCAAGGACGAACAGATAGAGTAGAAAAGCAACAAAGTAAGTAAAATATCTGGGGATTCATTTGAATACAAGACTCACTTGGAAATATCATATCAACTTGAAGCTCAATAAAACTTATGGGAGACTAGCTGAATTATAATATAGTATCATAAACAGAAAATTTTCCTTAAACCTGAATGCACTATTCTAATTTATACCTCGTTAATTCGCCCAATAGTGATGTGCGCCTGTGAGATATGGGGAAATGCGGCAGAATCAAATCGGAAAAAGTTGGATGTACTACAAAACAAGATACTTAGAATAGCTGTGGACGCCGAATGGTTTATCAGAAGCAAGTAACTACACAACGAATTGGGCATTAAAACGATCCAAGAGTTTATTTCAACGAAAACCAAAAAGTTCCACGAATGACTACACCTATGTAAATCAACAGAACTCTACAATTTGGGCAGAAGAAATATTCACAGCCGATTGCAATGGAGATTATCCCAAGATCTATACTTATTGTAAATTATTGTTCCTTTAACCTAACCCAACCCAAGCCACAAGGTGCTTAGGAGAGGAAAGGCGACTCCTCATGTATTATATATGAAAATATGTGTTGTAAAGCTCATTCTTTAGTGGTACTTTTTTGTCTCTTTAGTATTTTCCTTAAAGTTAATAGTTTCCGTGTAAAAAAATAAAATATCGTGCCATATACCGCTGTGCCGCCATGTTTAGCTAAAATTATTCTAAAAGTTGGCTCTGAGAACTTGTAAGTTTCATTTACGGTGAATCCTCATAATAATTGTTGAAGATTATTAATAATTTTTGACTGTTATTAAGCAAGAGTATCAATTTTGTTTAAAACAACGTAATTTGTTCAGACAGACATTCATGTTATTTATGGTTTTTCTTATGAAAATCACAATTAATTAGTGTTATTTAGTTAGTACTAGTCCTAGTAAGTGCACAACTTCCATAGCCAGCTATAAAGAAATTTTTATTAATAATACGGAGCTTTACAGTGCAATGTAGCATATTTTATTTTTTTACGTTAAAACTATTATCTTTAACGAAAAAACTAAAGAGACAAAAAAGTAGCAATAACGAATAAGCTTTACAACCCATATTTTTTTTATGTTAATATTCCATGGCGTTAAAAAGTTGTTATAAAAAAATCAAAGGGGTTGTGAATTTGATCCCCTTAGAGTGGGCTGGGGAAGTTTAAAGTATGGTTGAAAATAAGGTTCTACTAAGTAAATTCTACGGTTTACTTATACCCGAAATAAAAGATAAAATGTAAATTTTTGGCTCAATTTTGTCAGCTCATAGCTCGAAAACAAAAGTCTTTCGACCCTATGTTTATATAAAAAACTTGTGTTATTTTGGCAAGCACTACGTCCCAGTAAAGTTTCCTGATTAAAAACTCAACCACCCTGTATATAAAAACGGTCTGGTCTGGTAAATAAATGAAGAAAAAGAAAAAAGATTGTTACTAACAACGGCCCGATATCCGGTTATCCGGCATATCTAACCAGCCATTATGGTTATAATTTCTGGTACATTTCTGAAGTGATACTAAAAATTATTTTTCAAAACGGGTTGGTTCATTGGAAAGAGGAGACTCTTATTAACATTTTGGGAAATTTTCAAACTCATATTGAAACAAATGGATTTAATACGAATTTTTAAAACATAATCGGCGAAAATTGCAAAATTCGAAAAAATTGTCGATTATTTCAAAAATTTATATCTCATGAATTAAAAGTGATTTTTCAAAACGGCTTTTTGCATTAAAAAGATGATACTTTACTTAATAATTGGTGATATTTCCACAAGGATACTTCAAGAAATTAATTTTATAGAGAATTTTAAAAATTATCGATGCAAATTGCAACATCGAAAATTTCATCAAAACTTCAAATATTGTTTTCTCAAAAACTAAAAGTTATTTTTCAAAACGGGTTGGTTCATTAGAAAGAGGACACTCTTATTAACACTTTGGAAAATTTTCAAACTCATATTCCAAGAAATGGATTTTATACGAATTTTTAAAACTTAATCGGCGAAAATTGCAAAATTTGAAAAAATAGTCGATTATTTCAAGAATTAATTTTTCAAAAACTAAAAGCGGTTTTTTAAAACGGCTATTTGCATTAAAAAGAGGATACTTTAATTAATAATTGGTGATATTTCCACATGGATCCTTCAAGAAATAAATTTTATAGCGAATTTTGGAAATTATCGATGAAAATTGCAACATCGAAAATTTTATCAAAACTTCAAATATTGTTTTCTCAAAAACTAAAAGTTATTTTTCAAAACAGGGTGGTTCATTGCAAAGAGGACACTCTTATTAACACTTTGGGAAATTGTCAAACTCATATTCCAAGAAATGGATTTTATACGAATTTTTAAAACGAAAATTGCAAAAATTCGAAAAAATTGTCGATCATTTCAAAAATTTATTTCTCAAGAACTGAAAGTGATTTTTCAAAACGGCTTTTTGCATTAAGAAGAGGATACTTTAAATAATAATCGAAAGTGATAACAGCGACAGTTCTGTTAGTAATGAATGTGATGATGAATTACAAGAGAAGAGAAGGAAACTAGACGAAACTTCAACAAGAGATTTTATATATCGTATTGGGATTGTTATAATGAGGTTGCTGAAGACAAACCTGATATAAATAAAGTTGTATTCAATGAAAAATGTCCTATTGGGGTTGAATTATTATCTGCACTGTCCAAAACGTAAAAGAGATACTAATTCCTGTGAATGGTGGAGTACTAAGTAATAACAATATTACAAAACACAAATAAAATAAAATGAGCACTGATCAGCACTTAAGCTGATTGAAGTGCAAATTAAATTTTGTCAAATAACAGACTTTTGACTATAATGGATACTTCCTTCCCTATATTAATCCATTATATTGAGGTTTTACTGTACTAAAATTAATTACTAAAAACTTTAAAGAAAATCATTCAATTACAATTTCTTTTTCTTAGCAGCTGTTCTTTCATCATCACTATCATCATCATAACTAGGTTTATGATTGGCCAAAATTTTTTTAATTTCCTTTTTCTCAGATTTTAATTTTTTTCTTATATTCTCCAATTGTTCTTCCGGATTAGGTCCATCATCTTCTTCTTCAACATCGCTATCTTTTTTCCCACCTTTCTTTTCTTTTTCTTCTTCTTTCAACGTTTTTGCACTCAACTTAGGATCGTCTAAGATATCATGTGTTGATTTTCCTTTCCCCACAAACTTTCCGCTTTCTTTAATACTTTCTTCTTCATCTTCTTCGGCTTCAGCCCCAAAGGATAACAATTTAAAATTTTTAACGCCTGCGGCACGTTCCTTCTTTTTCTTTTTCTTCTCAATTTTTCCTTCATTTTCTCTTGGTACAATATCATCAAATGGATTATGTAAAACGTCGGCTTTTAAGATTTTATGTGGATACTCAGGTTTCTCATCGTGAATTATCCCTTCTTGTAGTTTTAAAACGTTAAAAATCGTATCGCCAGCTATTTTTCCGAAAATCGTGTGTTTGTTTTGCAGTTCTGGAGTTGCAGCAAGAGTTATAAAGAATTGAGAACCGTTATCGTCTTTTCCTGCATTCGCCATTGCAACTAAACCTCTACGAACGAATTTTAACCTTTGATGGAACTCATCTTTAAACGGTTCGCCATAAATCGATTCTCCACCTGTTCCATCTCCATTTGGGTCACCTCCCTGAGCTATAAAACCTTTCACGACCCGATGAAAAGTGGTGTTGTTGTAATAACCTTCTAAGCAAAGCTGAATGAAATTTCGGCATGCTTTTGGAGTTTCTTTTGACCAGAGTTCGATATCTATATCACCTACTGTGGTTTTTAGCAAAACCTTAAAAAAATTTTAATTGATAATAAAGTGATTGTAAAAGATTATAAAATAAATATTGTACCTTGCCTGATGTATGAGGTTCTAAAATATAAATATTACTCATTTTTTTAGGTTAAATACATAACTGACATAACCTAAAAACGATATTTTTGGTTAGTTATTGTTTAAGGGTAAAGGAGAAAACTGTAAATATAATTTTTTTTAAGTTTAATTAAATCGTTATTTAATACTTTAAATTTAATTAAATTGGCGAAATAATTATACGTGATTACTTTTATATGTGAAATTTGCGTGTTTTAAACGTTTTATTGTTAATATTAACCTAAAAATGAAACGTCGTAAATTAAATTTAGGCTAATACCAACTTAATAATGATAAAGTATTAATAATTTTAAATAAATAATTTTAATATAAACATTTAAGTATGTATTATTATTTCTTTTTATATTCAATTGTATAACTTCAAATATTTTATGTTTAATTTGTAATTATTTATTACTATTTCTATAGTAACTGCCCGACAAGTTACGTGTAGATGGAAACTTTGTGTTTGTTATGTTGGCCTAAAATTCTTAAGTGAGCATACATAAGAACCACTCCCGGCTTTTTGACAGAAACCGAAATAATTTCGCTATCCATGTAAGTATTATTTATTAATTGTGACCCTTTTCCCGTTACTTTTTAACTTAAACTTTTCGGCTAGTCATTACATTCGCTAGGTTTTATGTATAATTGACATTTTTTTCGTAATTGTCTACGTAAAAACGTCAAAAAATTCATGGCCGATGAGTAGATTTTTTGCTTTAGTCCCGTTTTCCCTCTCGATTTAACCACTTTATCCGCTTTATTCGGTTCTATAGTTTACAAAAGTGTGTCGAGCGTTCATCTTTAACGGTATTTTTCGTACCGAAACCGGTATCATTAAAGGTATCCAACATATTTTATTCTTCAACCAAGTTTTTTTTTTTATTATTTTTAAATTCTTTTTTTATTTCACATACCTATCACATTTACGCCCCCTCTGAGCAACATAACCTCACCCAAAATCAACACGCCCTTTCCACAACATCCATCAAAAAATCTTTTTTAAATTTTAATTTAATTCATTTTCAGCATTTTTACATTTGTGTATCAATAAATATTGAAGAGGATGGCGGTGAACGTTTATTCAACGAATGTAACAACAGAAAACCTTTCGCGGCATGACATGCTCTCTTGGGTCAATGATTGTCTCCAAAGTAGCTTTGGAAAAATCGAGGAATTATGTACAGGGGCCGCTTACTGTCAATTCATGGATATGCTCTTTCCTGGATCTGTTCCACTCAAACGAGTCAAATTTAAGACAAACCTCGAACACGAATACATACAAAACTTTAAGGTGCTTCAAGCTGGATTTAAAAAAATGAGTGTGGATAAGGTATGTCATAAATATTTTTATTACAAAATTTATTTTTGTGCTTTTTTTGATGAATTATGATGGGGTAAATAATAAAATTAACATTAAAAGAAATTAGGTTATAATTTGAATGTCAAAATGACAGGTGAAATGTCAAATTTGAAATATAAAATGTCTAATAATTAATTAATTCAAATTAATGTAATAAAGGTTACTTTTTTTTAAAAAGAAGGATTTTAGTTAAGGTTACTGATAAAATTGCTAACTTTTTTATGATTTTTTAAAATTTTTATTAAGTACATTTTGATTTCTATTAATTTTCTTAACGCCGCCATTTTTGAAATGTGACATTTAAAATGTCATTTTTATGATTTTTCGGATTTATTAATAAAAAAATATTTTAATATTCATTAACATATTTGTTTATCATTTCGTTAGTTCCAAATGTACAAGTTTCACAACAATACATAAGATGATTAAATTTACCGACGACCAACTTTAATTGTTTTATGAGTTTCAGCTTTCCTTCTCACCAAGTTTTTTCCTGTCCATCCAAGTCCTTCATCATAATCTTCCTCCATGTTGTCCTGGGCCTCCCTCTTGTCTGGCTGTTTTGTGCATTCCAGTCTAGTACCAACCCAACCCACTTCTATATCTCTAGTTTCATTTCCTCTTGTTTCGCCTGTCGTAGGTATTCTTCATTTGGTGCAAATAATATTTGTACTATCTTTCTCAAATGTTGCCTCATGTATTATTGTATCTTATTTTCTATATTTTGTATCATCTTCCTCCGCCTTTTGTTACCATACTGCCTAAGTAGTAGAACTCTTCGACCTCATATATGTTCTGTGTTAATGTCCATTGTTGATAATTTCAATGTATTTATTTCTAACCCTACTTCCTGCACCATTCTGTTATTTTATTTAGTTTTGTTTGGATGTCTGCATGCATATGTGGCAGATCTCAATCCCCTCCTCTCTTTTTTTGTTCACCTCTTCCATTGAATACTGTAGTATTGTTCCTTTTCTCACTGCCCATAAAGACCTTTTCTTTATCTGCCTCAACCTCTTTGCAGCACACACTAAAATTTTTACAGTACACCCTTTCTTTAAAACGCACCGCTCGCTTAACCGCTTCCATCCTCATCTTATCTACCTTCATTTCGTCTCTGCTTATATATCCCAGAGTCTCTCTAGCCAACCTCAACACCCAGTTCCAGTACCTGGTCTGCACATCCTCTAACTAGCCCTTGTTCCTTCTATCTCCATATCTCCACGTCATACATCATTACGTTTTTTATCAAGTTCTCCAACATTTTCCTTTTTTCCACATCCCACCAAAATATCCTCTCACAATGACTTTATGATGTTAATGATTTTCGTCGGAATTCTTATCTTTCCCAAAGTTGTCCATACTGCAGCATGACTCAGTGAGTCAAAGGCTCTTCGTGGGAATTTCCATTCCTGTGATTATTTGATGATGATTCAGAGTGTATTTATGTAATCAACACACGACTTGTTGGGGCGAAAAACGGCTTGTTCTCTCATTAACTTTGGCTCTATGACTATTTTGTTGATGATATTTAAAAGTGTGATGCCGCGTCAGTTACAACATTTACTTACTTAGGTTTCATTTTTTTTCCAACTCTAAAGTGTGTTTTCCATATTCCACACTTTCTTAAATATGAGTTGTATGTAGTTGTGTGTTTATTATGGATATGTATGCCTGCAGTAGGAAGTTGTTCAATTCCTGCTTTTATTTGTCTAAAGGATGAGGCATTAGTGTTTATTTGTAATGTTCGGCGGTTTCTCCTCTAATAAGGTCATTACCGTCTTTCAGTTCGGTTTTCCTCTGCTGTTATTGTGTTCGCATCATTGTTTTTTATTGGTTTTTTGTGAGTGTCCGATTTGTTACTCTAGTTTGAAAAAAATTGATATTCTTCGATGTTAAGAATATGATATACTTCATTCGATAATACTTCTATTCTTAAAACAAAAAGACATTTTAGGAAATACATTCAATAATAAATTTTTCTTGAAAGTCAAGAATAATGTCTCTTAGTGCGGGATCTCAGATTGCGACCCCTACTATTATTGGCAAATATCCCTACATATTTCATAAATTAAAGAAAACCTACGCCATTTTTAGGCTGAAAAATTTCCTACGTCTGGCCACACGTCAAGCAATGTGCTTGGTACACACGTGCGGTTTCGCTTGCGCAAGCTTGCATGATTAAAATTCAATCCATCATCAAGCGGATTCCACAAGCAAAATATTTGTGCAAAATTATCCTACAAACGCTAAAGCATACTTGTACAAAAAGATTGATCATGCATACTTATCAAGTTTGCAGTTATGTGTGTAGCCACCTTTATGTCTAGATTTATCTGTTTTGTTCATCTCTTTTCTCTCTTGTATTAGCGTGTATACCAGCGTATCCACGTGTCATCTTTTATCCATTCCTTTTTGAGTTCTTTCCTCCCCCCAGTATACATCTACTTTGTTTCTATTTCTGTTTTGGCGTTTTCCTATGTTTCAGTTTTTTGTTTGCATTTCTGTTCTTTCAGCTTCTTTATAACCTCGTTGTATGAAAAGATTGCGAAATTTCTCCACGTTCAGTTTTGCTCTTTTTTACCCTGTGGCACATTACTTGATGTACGAAATAAAAAAGTTGTGCCACCTTCTTATCGTTATATGATCTATTTTGTTTTATGTTCTGACATCTGGTGGTGTCCAATTGTTAAGTCGTTCTTCATGCAGAAGTCTACAAATAATTCACCGTTGTTATTTCTTTTTCCTAGACAATGTTTTCGATTATGTTCTCCAAGCCAACATTCTCCTCTCCTTATATCATCTTTCTTTATTTTTTCCATCGTTTGTGTGAGTGCGTCGTAGAAACTTTCTTTTGCTTCTTTCTCAGATGGGTCAATAAGCATGTAGCATTGTATTAAGCTCAGATTTCTCATGTTTGTGCGAAAGCGCAAAAAACTCTATCATACTTCTTACCTGTTCATTCATCAATATACCCACTCCGTTTGCTTGGGTTTTTCCTTCTTTGTTTCCTGAGTAGATCAGGGTTGCTTCATGCCAAGGTTGCTAATCAGTATATTTAGCACTAGCTGATGATCAATCTATAGATTTCGTTCTGATTATGGGGCTGCCATCTTAACCTACCAGATAGGCTAAAAGGAGGGTGAAATTTAACCCAATGCGCTTGTAGATGAGGTTTGTAATTGGGCCATGGATGTTAGTCGGCCCCTTGCACTATTTGTTTTCTTATTATTCTGTAAATCCTACAAAAAGCAAGATTCTTATTTTGGCAGTGTGCCAAATCCTCCTGTTATCTTTGGATTCTCCATTCTCAATATTTGCTTTTATCTTTATTCAATTCGATGTTATACACAATGTGCAATTATGTCTCCATATAAGTTTTATGTGTTCTTTGGCTTTCCCAACCTCTTCTTCTCTGTTATGGAATATTCAAGGGTATGTCTTGTTCTATTGTTTTAAATGTATATAATTTTAAAATAATAATCTGAGGTTTATTAAATTTATTCTTAACGCATTGTACTTAATAAAAACAGAAAATATATGCAAACGTCGACGACTTTATTAATATTTATAAAATGTAACTTATAAAAAGGAAATGTAACTGTTTCATTGTACCTGTTTAATTGAACTAGTTTCCTTAACAAATCCTCCTTTTTCAAAACAGGAAATCGTAGGTTGTTATTGTTCAACATTTTTCATTATCGATTAAAATTCATTTCATTAATTTTTATTAACTAAAAGCCCACTCAATGAAAATAAAATTGTAGGTTATACCTGTAGATAAGTTAATAAAAGGTCGTTTCCAAGACAACTTCGAGTTCTTGCAATGGTTCAAGAAATTTTTCGACGCGAACTACGACGGCCGCGCCTATGACGCGCTGGAAGCGCGGGCGGGCCTCGCTTTGGGTTCGGGGGCAAGCGATCAAGCGGGTGCCGTCGCCCCTGCTGTTTCCGCACCGACAGCCCCCAAAACGACTTACACTCGACAGGGTAACGGAATGACGTCCGCCACTCAGCGTTATGTACCCCCAGCTAAAAGAAAACCAGGTAACGCTAACGCAACATGTCCGTCCATTCAAATAACCGTATATGTAAATACTTTATGATTAAAGAAGAATAATCATATCTTCTTTAAATATGTTAATCATCATTTGCTCTTTCTAAATTCATTTTAACAAACTTAAAATATAGAAGATAACTAGTTTGTGGATTTCATTTTGTTTGTTGGTGTTACGGTTGTGTTGTAAACAACATGGTTGCTTTTATCTGGGGTTAAAATGTGGGCATTTTTTATTGTGCTAGTAGTTATTTATAACTTAGCGCCAGTAAAAGGACGGTAGAATCTAAGAGGACTGCTACATCCCGGGAACGAGTGCACAGTTCGACGGACCGTTAGTGACGTCACGCATGTGTAGGTAAAAAGAAAAATCTTAATCGATTTTAAGCGTGATTCGGCTAAAGCCGAATGTTTCTAGTTCTAGGTCTAGTTTTAGTTCATTAAAAATATATAACAACGCTGAATAACTAAGACTGGAGCTTACACTAGCACTTAAACTAACACTAGACCTAGAACGAGAAACATTCGGGTTTAACAGTGCGTCTCTTAAGACAGCAACAACAGCTGACTGAATGTGACACGTGATTGGTCCGATACTGACGTCATTTTCTGAATTACAAAGGATGTAGCAGTCCTTTTAAATTCTACCGTCCTTGGAGTCAACCCCCCTTTTAGAATATTTTCACGCATTGTCAAAGCACGAAGAAGTCTAAAAACGTTATTCTCATTTTTCATTTCTAAATTTATTATTAGTACTTTTTTTTCAATTATTTTTCTAATTTATTAATTTATCTACAACGTATGCGATACAATTTTTGCATCATCAAAGCACTTTTTTTAATTGGTTTTGTTTTATTTTTTTTTACTTTTTTATTAAATTAATTTTGTTCAATTATTGTTTCTTTTATAAAATATACGTTTGCTTTTGGATGGGATTTGCGGCGAACCAATAAAAAATTACAAAAAAAAAATAGATTGTGCCCATCGATAGGCTGGTTAAGGGCCGTTTCCAGGATAATTTCGAGTTTCTACAGTGGTTCAAGAAGTTTTTCGACGCGAACTATAAAGGAACGGAATACGATGCGTTAGGGATGCGTAGCGGAGAGGCAATGGGCAATGGGGGCGGATCAGCGCCGAAATCGAGCGGCATCAAAAAACCAAGCCAAGCCAACTCGACCAAAACATCGCCGGCCGCCGTTAAGCCCCAACCAAAAGCTAGTATGTTTAAAATTCTTAAGTTATTTTTAAAGCTTATTTTTGTCAAAATTTAAGTTGATTTTTTTTTCTCATTTCAAATTCATTATCATAATTCACTTGCTTTTTTCTTCTCTTTGTTTTACATTTGCTTATTTCATTTTATGAGAACATTTTCAATTTTAAAGCATGTTATTTAAATAGGAATTAATGTTTGTTTTTAAATAATCAATTATCAATTTAAACAAAAATTATTTCTTCACCCAATCTGTAATTACTCAGATAGAAAAGCTTTTTTCAACTTATTCATTAGTAAAGAAAAATTATGATTTCACCCTTTCCAAGACAGAACCGGCATCGACGGCGATGTGTATTCATGTGGTTCTGATCCTGTGCTACTCTGCACCGGGAATTGGCTAAAATATTGGATCTGCAGTTCCTCAGATAAAACTCATTCGTCCACCTTGTACTAACTTCTGTAAAAAACTTGACACACTGGTCAACTCTTCTCATGTCCAGTGCAGAAAAGTCGTGATATTTCAGTAGGGATGCGTAATCTGTTCCACAATCCGGGTATGATGCATCCAAGTGTAGAGACAAATATCATAACATATATATTGTGGTGACCTAATTACAGACCCATATTCATTCCGTTTTCATACAAAGGTCAGAAACAGGGACTTGTACACATTGATGTTAGAAAAGGCACGCGATGTACGCAAAATTAAACCAGGCGTCCTTGCTGGAGCAGATGCAATATCTTCAATGTGCGGTGCAAAAGACAATTTGTAGTCAAAAATAACTCCCAGATCCCTGATTGTAAATAGTTTCTCTAGAACATCTTCTACGTATATAATAAGCGGAAAAAGTGACCCTTGCCTGTAAAACTAACAGCACCGCACTTATTACTATTAATTTTTAGCTGATAATGATTACAGTATTCTACCAAGATTACTGCCAGATTCGTCCAAGTCTGACTGCAGACTGACAACATCACTTTCTGAAAAAATAGGTCGGAATAATTTCAGATCATTCGTATAGGCTAATACCACAGAATAACCGGACATGACACTGACGTCGCGTCGATTCGTTTGATGTTGGCGACACATCAGTTTAAAATCCGCCATCTTATCGCCAGTTACCAAAGGCACAGCATAATCAGAAATGATACTGACGTCGATTTGTTTGATGTTGGCAACATCTCGTTTTATGACGTCTATTTAAAAATCCGCCATTTTATCGTGAGGAACCATAGGCGCGATGCATGAGAGAGACAACTTAAGTTACTACCAATAGCAGCAATACCTTGCTTCCTCGCAACAATATGGCGTCAGATTTGGCCAGACTTGTGGTTATTCTGTGCCAGAAGTGACACTGGCGGTATCCCGCCAAATCTTTATGACCAATAGCAACATACCTTGGAAACTCCTTATAATATGACGTCAGATTTGGCGAGATGCCGCCAGATTCACTTCTAGTTATTTTGTGCTAATACGCTAGATAAGAATGTGTCTAGAAAGTCATTCAAGAAGATAACAAATAGTAGGGGGCCTAGATTTGAGCCTTAAGGAACACCAGACATATAATTACATATACTTTATCCGACTCGACAGCTAACAGGTATATACAGTGTGTTAATTAATTATCGTACCCGACGTCATCATTGCAAGTATGCAACCAATATCGCGATATGCGCATTGCAATACCAATACTGCGCGATTTGCGCATTACAATACTAATACTGTGATATTGGTTGCATACTTGCAATGATGACGTCGGGTACGATAATTAATTAGCACACTGTAGTTTTATAAGCTTAGGAGAAAAGCCAAAAGTACTACGTTTATTCATGAGGACGTCGTGATGAATCATATCAAATGCCTTAGAAAAGTCGGTGTATACCACATTCATCTGACCACTCTTATCTAAAGATTCACAAATCACTTTAGTAAGTGATAAGTCAGTTTCGCCATGCTTGAATACAGGAACAATGTTGCAACAATGTTGCAATGTACGTTTGCAGTAGAAAGGAGGCCAGTCAATCGTCGCGATATTCCTTCTCGAGGTTATCTTCTTGTGAGGGGTTCTTATCGTGGGTTGAAGCAGTTGGAAGTGTGTCATGCAAAACACCAGGAGCAGTACGGACCATTAGAACACCTGCCCATATTGACGCAGTCCGAGCTTCATTTTTGCGCTCTGTATCTAAACGTGCAGTTGCCCTGGGGTTGTGAAATCGTTCAAACCGATTCTTCCGAAATTCTTCAATTCTCCGAAGCCGATATTCTTCATGATGAACTACACTTTCACGACAAACGGCATGCGAAATTTCCATATCTTAGGTTGTGTTAACAAACAAAGTATGCTATATTGGAGCGATATAACTATATTGATATATACCAGGTGTTCATTAAGTGTTGGACTAGCTTAATATCTCCAAAAATACTTGTCGAATCAACATGAAATTGGAAATGCGAATTTGACTTAACAAAATTTTCAACTGTTTGCCTGTTAAACTTTTCAAGGTGTAGCGCCAACTTGATTTTTTTTAAATAGTTCCACTAGTCAAAATTGACATCATTCGAAAACTTATTTTATTCTGCATTCGTATATCAACCAAGGGAACTCCATGGACTGCGATATCAAAAGTAGTAACCATTGGGCTACATTTTTTCGAAGAGTGCAATCGCACGGTAATAATTAATTTGGAGCGTTATGTGGCCATGCTTGGCAATTTTTTCTGCCAGCTCTTGAAAATTTTGCCATTAGCGATGTATGGTTTCAGCGACTGCCCATACGTCACGAATTTCCATATGTGTTGTGAAAGATAATTTTCCATGGCGACTTATCTCCAATAGAGGTGATATTTCGTGGCCCGCACGCTCGTCAGATTTAATTGAAAGTCTTTAACAATTCTGGAAGCATACCGTTTGCTATGCTGGAGAGAGTCTACAAATATTCTTTTTAAAACTGTTTGATACCAAACTTCCTACGTTAGTGCATAAAGCTAATAAAAAAAATTTTTAAATGTAAAATATGTATAAAGAAGGTCTTAGTTCCGGACTCTGTATAAACATCTTTTTTGTCACGCTATTTTATTTCAAGAAAAGCTTCGTTTTTGAGGCTTTGCATTGAATTTAGGCAATATACATTATATTAGAGTTAACAGTGCCGCAGCAATTTACTTTCTTCTAGTGGAACTATTTCTATAACAAAGGGCTTGAGTACCAGTGGTCAAAATATAAATCGTGGGCTTTTCCGCTATATGATTCCATCAGCGTCATGCTTATGTTACCTGATTTTTCTATATCCTTCTTAAAATCTTTTACTTCTGTTAATACTCCGGTATAAATTATGAACTCTAAAATGTAGTAGATTTGGCAATCTACAATTACGAAAAATTTTATACCAAAGCGGCGAAATCAGATTCTTCCTTTGAAAACCCTAAGACTTTAATCAATGGTCAAAGATTGAAATGAATAAATAAAGGCTTTGTTTGAATGTAAATATTTTTGAAGTGATCCACAACAAGATGTATTTTGTATAGCTTCACGTTGGGACTAGAATTATTTGCAAAATGAAGATACTTTAATAAATCTGTACTTCTTGCTGTTTGACTTGTGCCATAATACAAAAAATAAATACGTTTCTGCTTACGTTGGAAGTATACATTTTAAAAATAAAATAATTGAGTTTGTAGTTTAGACTTCTAAAACTATATCTCACCGCATCCATATCAAAAACCACAATCGTGCGGTTTTGATCCTTACACATGTCTCCGATATTACGTGTGTAGATACGGTTTTGATCTATAAGAAGGCATTTTTTATTTTGCATGTACAGGGTGGTCCATTTAACGTGAGACAAGCGATTATCTCGACAACATTTTACATAAAAATGAACCAAATGAAAGTTGTATATATGTATATATGACGATAATATTTTTTTAACCTTGAATCTTATTTTCAAGGTCACGACCAATTTTTTAAATGGCACCCTATGTTTTTAATTGCAGAATCTGAATCTATGGATAAAAGTAAGATAATTAAAAAAAAATTACCGTGTCTTTTGTAGACAAAATCTAAATAATTTTTTTATTCAACTAGTTTTAAATATTGTTTATTTCTAAAAAAAATTATTAAACTATACTATTAATCAACAAGAAGTGTAAAATTTATACTAAATGTTCAAATATTTCAAACTGTCTTTACATCTTAAAAGGTTTTCTTGGCTACTATTTCTGCATACATTTCTTATGTACTTCGCGATAAACATAGGACGCCCACAAAAAAAAATCAAGAGGTGTTAAATCAGGTGATCTGGCAGGAAATTGGACCTCCCCTTCCAATCCATCGCCCAGCATAATCCCGATCTAAAGCTTCACGTGCAATATGTGAAAAATGTGCTGGACACCCATCATTTTGCAGCCACATATTTTGTCTTTCTTCCCTGCTCAAATCTACAAGTAACGTTGGTAAGACGTCATCTAAAAAATTTCGGTACTTCTTCCCATTCAGCATACCATCAATAAAGTATGGACCGATCAATTTATCACCAATTATGCCACACCAAACATTAACCGACCAAGGTCGTTGATGTTCTACTTCACGCTCCAATAGTGCATGTTATGTCTATTGACTTGTCCTTTGTTTGTAAAGTACTCATCCGAGAATAGCACGTTACCAAAGAAATTGATGTTCAACCGCATTCGTTCTTGTGCCCATTGACAAAATATTAATCGGTTTTCAAAATCACCTCCATAAAGCTGTGGATGCAATAAAATATACCACATTTTATTAGGTAGTAGGGATTGCAATCGAGAAGGGTTTTTACAATACCGGGATTTCGGGAACAGGATTCTTTATCCCGGGATTACCAGGGATTTCTGGGCTACAACTTATTCTAACCATAATACAAGAAATCTCAACCATGGATAGCACTATTTTTAAAGAAATGTCGCAGAACAATCAATTTATCATATAAGTACGAAGGCTTTCATCATGACATTGACATTGTTCATTAGTTTAAATCAATTTATCTATTGTTTTATTTCCTAAACGAGATCTAAATTTTGTGTTGAAGAGAAGCACCGTTCCGATTCCACACTTGTTGGTAGAATAGTTTTCAAACATTCAAAAGCGAATTGAATTTTTATCCATATTACCGCCATTATTGAATATATCAATTTCCTGGATCGATGTATTGAAGAGTGCATTCTTAGTTAACTGGACAGGAGGCTTTGTTGTCTTTGTTTAGACATTTTCAAACATATTTTGTTCTTCTATGTCATTTATCATAAATTGTAAAGCTATATCTGCTTTTCCTAGTGCAATACACCGCAAACATAAGGCTTTTACAGTCAGCTTTGCCGGCTCCAATATGGTTACTAACGCTTTAATAAGTTCGTACTGTGAATCTACAAGAAAGGGCTCTTATGTCAACCATTGCTTTACGTGCGCATTTTTCTAATAATATGAATCGGTCCAACATAACAAACAGTGTACTCTCCACCAAGTCTGACAATTTAAAATTAATTTAATTTCTTTTTCGTGGTCTTTTTTTATATAATTTTGTAATATCGAATGAGTGCTTGCGGTGTCAACCTATAGATCGAGTCTTATTCTTCAAAAAATAGTAAATTCATGACATAAACATAACTCCGAAAATCCCGAAATTATAATTGATTTCCCGGCATAATTTTCGAGATTTAAATATGTACGGAATCCCTTCATTTGCGGGATTGCAATTCCTAGAGGTATGTGTGATACTTGTTGGGCTTTCATATTCTTAAAATGCTGGTCTTTGATATTCGGCATTAGTTGCAAGTCGTCGATTGTTAACTTGAGGATTTGCCTCAATGCTAGCTTCCGTAGTTACAGTTGCTCGCCGAGTTCTTTTTCTTGATTCCACGTCTCCAGTGTTAGTGAAATCATTCACAACGTTGTAAAAGGTACTTCTCGAAGGCGTATTTCGATCAGGAAAACGTTCTCGATACAAAGCTATACTACCGGCAACTTTTCTGCCACTTTCTCCATAAATAAAAATCATTTCGACTTTTTCTGCCACACTTAGAGTATTCATGATTTATTGACTTAAACACTTTGCCTTAATGTAAAACGATAGAATGAATGCAGAGTTTGTTGCCAAGCAGTTTTTATGCAAATTTAGTTTTACCGGTACATTTTAAAACAATTCAACCAATTAAGTCTGTAAGCGATAATGCCGACATAAGCAGTTCCACGAACTCTTGTTTTTTATGCGTTATTCTATTATCAAATTGACAAAGTCGGAACCCTTTAGATCTCTTGTATGTATGTATGTAGGAAAGCTTATGGTATGCTTCCGCATACAGCACCTAGGCCCCAACGGGCCCCTTGTACGTCCTCCTACACTCTCTCCGGCTACATCAACCAGCCTAAGAAATTTCCGAAGGCTAGGATACAGCTCAGAGGTGTGTTCCTGATGCCATCTGTGGTCGGCCATTCCTCTCCGAAGTCTCTCATTCTGAGGTCTTGCAGAGTGGGGCATTCACACAAGATGTGTCGGACCGTCTCCTCGCTCTCTTTACAGAGGCGACAGAGAGGACTAATAGCAAGCTTAAGGTTATAAAGATGCTTGTTTACCTTACAGTGACCCGTGACGAGTCCCGTTACAGTTCGTAGAGCGTTTCTACCAAGCCTTACGAAAGACAAGGCTGCCTCTGCTGAAGGATAATGTAATACTTCCTTAGACAGATGGCAACCCTTAACCCTATCCCACCAGTTCATGAACTTTTTGTGGGTAAAATCTTTAATTATCTCAATCTGAGTTGATAAGGACGGAGCGATTATCGGTTCAGGCGAACATGGCGCTCGCTTGGCAGCCCTTTTGGCAAGCCTATCAGCGTGCTTGTTACCTGAACAAGTCGAGTGTCCTTTTATCCATTGAAGTATGACACAGTTATGCACTGCGGCCTTCTCCAATGTCAGATGACAACCCATAACAAGTCCTGAGGTAATTGTTATTCTACTCAGGGCTAAAATAGCTTGTCTACTGTCAGTATAAATTGTAAAAGTCTTACCTACCAAGTTGGATCTGACAATAACGTCAGCGGCAAGTTGTATGGCGATTAACTCCGCCTGTATGACGGTGGTACTTATACCTAAAGGTTCAGATACGTGGAGTCGGAGATCGTACGAGAAGACTCCGGCTCCAGCTCCTTCCCGTCTCTTTGAACCATCAGTGTAGATTTTAAGGCTGTTTTTTACCTCTACTTCTGTGGAACTTGGGTGGGTGAGATATTTCTTCGTAAAAATGTGTTGTAGGGGTGTAATGTCCGTTACACAATCCAGAATTGGTGAGTATTCCACCATTTCGTTCCAGAGATTGGCATTTTTACTGTTTCTCTCACCCACCGATTCTTAGAATTCCTGCTGCTCGCAGTCGAATCATGGTCACCAATGCCACCTCTTGGATGAACAAATGAAGTGGCGTTAGGTTTAACATGTTTTCCATGGCTGCAGAGGGGGTAGTCCGCAGCGCACCTGTAACATACAAACACGCAAGTCTCTGTACTTTAATAAGTGCAGCAGTAGATGTAGACTGTAGGGTCTTTGACCACCATACTACTGCACCATATGTAAGCATAGGTCGGATTACAGCCGTGTAAATCCAGAGGGCATTTTTGGGTGACAAACCCCATGTCTTACCTATAGCCCTCCGGCATTGACCGAATGCAACGTACGCTTTTTTAACTCTATTATCTAGGTGGGCTCTCCATGTCATTTTATTGTCAAGCGTGATGCCCAGATATTTAACTTCTTTTGACAATGCCAATGGAGTATTAGCAAGGGATGGCATTCTGGGCTTAGCAACCTTCCTCATCCGTGTGAAAAGAATCAACTCTGTCTTCTTAGTCTTAGACCTCTTTACAAAGGTATTTCCAACGAGCCAGGTCACCCGATGTACCTCTTCTGGATCTTTTTTGTTGAGCATGTTTTACCATTCTACAGGCAAAACCACACAGTAAAATGTTTTAATTACTTTACTTTTATCCACAGATTCAGATTTTACAATAAAATATATAGGGTGATATTTAAAAAATTGGTCGTGACCTTCATATAACCTTGAAAATAAGGTCTAGGTCAAAAAATGTTTCCCCTTTCGCACAGAACGTCCTGTATATACGATCTTGGTCCTTAAAGGGTTAAATATAATTTAAAATTAACACAAAAAGAGCATGTTTAAAAAATTATTCTTATTCTTGACACGAATACTTCTGCTTTATTTCCTCGTCTTAATTTTTTGATGATTGATTATTAAAAAATAAAAAAAATATTCCTAAAAAATCGATTGTGAAATAGAGAATTTACATATTAGTGCCTAAAGTAAATGCAGTACGCCCGGTGACCAAAACGGTGACTTCGGTGAACAGTCGTGGCGATTCCGGGAAAATAGAAGAGCTGACAAGTCAAATTTTGGAATTGAAAGTGAGCGTAGAAGGTTTAGAAAAGGAGCGTGATTTCTATTTCGGGAAGTTGCGTGACATTGAGGTTATGTGTCAAGAGTCCGAAGAGGGTAATCCCCTAATCCAGAAGATTTTGGAAGTTTTATACGCAACCGAAGTAATATTTAAAAACAACAATATTTTTATATTTCTAATGGAGTTTGTGTTGTTTTAATTTAGGATGGTTTCGCACCCCCCGATGAATTAGAAGGTGGCGCAGACGAACAGGACGAGTATTAAAAGGAAATAAAACATCCCTTTTTTAACACTCCCTCCCCTATTTTCTATACTTTTAAGAGTCACGTTCCCATAAAAAAATAATCATAGGGAAATCGAAAATTGTTTACATACGAGGTATTTTAGTGTCTTGTTAAAAATATTCTCGCATCATGTAAACTCTTTTTTTTTTTTTTTTTCATTTACACTATTAAAATTTATTGTAACCGTTGCCCACGTACTACACAAAGTTATGGTATATATTCTATTGAATCAAAGAAAAAAGAAAATTAATAATTATAAAAAGCGAAATTGATAAAATAGTAGATTTTTTTAAATGTAAAATGTGTTGATTTGCGTGTGTAAAAATTGTTACGTTTTTCAAAAATCAAAATGATGAACGAATTTTCTATCGAATATTATTTGATAGTCCAACGATTAAACGATGACGCTGATAATAACTTCTTTGTCTTTTTTATGGTTTTTTTTTCGCGATTAGTAGAGAAGAAGCGCGCACTCAACTTGTTCTATAGTTACGTTTTACTACCTACTGTTTTTTGTGTTATCTACTACCCTGTGTTGGCATATTTTGAAATAAAAAAACGAATAAATCATTTACAGTTTTATTATAATTTGAGTTTTATTGTTGCAACTATTTCAATTTCCTCTATAAATAGTATATTATTATATGAGCATATAATAGCTCATTATATGCGAGTAGAATACTATGCTTTGTCCACGACTATTGAAATTGATTCCATAAATTTATTTTTTAAATAAATTTTTGAATAAAGGTTAAACGTCAATGTGACACAAATTCAATGTTACTAACTGTAACCAACTTCACAACAATTTGTCAAAATTAAGTGTCAGTTTTATAAAACGTCGTTTTCTTTACGAAAATTAATTAATTTATGCTTAAATCATACGAAAAAAGGAATTGTTTAGGTTTTTTTAATGTCAAACATTTAGAAACTCCTAAAAAATTGAATTAAATTGACGTTTTTTGAACTTTTAACGTTTCAAATAATTATTATTAGTCTGATCAAGATGGCTACCCGTGGATAATGATTATTATTCACCGCTATTATTCACTCCGTGAAAAATGACTACCATTTTGTTTTAGAAAACTCATTCATAAGGTATATATTATAAGGTAGTCGTGGACAAATAAATTTATGGAATCAATTTCAATAGTCGTGGACAAAGTATAGTATTCTACTCGCATATAATGAGCTATTATATGGTCATATAATAATATACTATTTATAGAGGAAATTGAAATAGTTGCAACAATAAAACTCAAATTATAATAAAACTGTAAATGATTTATTCGTTTTTTTATTTCAAAATATGCCAACACAGGGTAGTAGATAACACAAAAAACAGTAGGTAGTAAAACGTAACTATAGAACAAGTTGAGTGCGCGCTTCTTCTCTACTAATCGCGAAAAAAAAACCATAAAAAAGACAAAGAAGTTATTATCAGCGTCATCGTTTAATCGTTCGACTATCAAATAATATTCGATAGAAAATTCGTTCATCATTTTGATTTTTGAAAAACGTAACAATTTTTACACACGCAAATCAACACATTTTACATTTAAAAAAATCTACTATTTTATCAATTTCGCTTTTTATAATTATTAATTTTCTTTTTTCTTTGATTCAATAGAATATATACCATAACTTTGTGTAGTACGTGGGCAACGGTTACAATAAATTTTAATAGTGTAAATGAAAAAAAAAAAAAANTTATATAATAACAAATTTTTGTTGCCAAGATATATTTTTAAAAAAACAAGGTCCCTAAATCTTTTTGTTTGACGAAGGAAAAATATATGGTGGCATCTTGGATTTAGGAAATGGATTTTGTAGATATGACACTACAAATACTCCCCCTTCCAAGAAGAAATAAGGTTAACAATGAAATGTAAATCAAGTAGTTATAAATATTTCAATTTTGAAAACGTATTCTTAAAGATTTATTTGGAATTGAATTTTGATTAGAAGCAATTTCAAGTTTATCGTTAGCTATAAATGCTGGTGGTAATCGATTAATATTAACTGATAACACTAGTCTACAAGAAAAAATTCATAAAATATACATTTGACGCCACTGTATTTTTCTTATGTAGTTTGGTCCCCTAAACCCAAAAATCACATTTAAAATTTCTTCTATGGATACGTTTTGGAGCTATGATTTTTTTTAGGGGTTAGTTAACTATTTGCAGGATATCTCGAGTTAGATATGACAGATCTGGTCGTGCTATTCATCAAATTAAAGAGTATTGTGTAGCCAATAAATGGTATTAATACTTATTCCAATCGGTTCGGTAGTTTTAAAACAATGGCTCATAACATGTGAAAAAGGGATATTTTTTGGACAAAATGTGAAATTCATTCAATATCCGTAGGGAGTCGCAGAAAAATTCTTTTTTACCTTCTTAATTTTTACATCCTTAATTTTAATAAAACAAAGTCTGAAACAAATAGATCTTTATGAATGAAAGGTTTAATTTTTGAATGGAAAGTAGTAGGTACTGGTTTTAAACTTGAAAACGTTTCTTTGAGACTAACTAGAAGTGGTTCTGTTTCTAAATGGTCCTGTGAAGTGATAATAAATTCTCCGGGTAGGCGGAAAGGTTGACCATACACTAACTCTGCGGGTGAACAACCTAGATCTTCTTTAAGTGAAGATCTAAGGCCCAATAGTATAATTGGGAGGGCGTTGTTCCACCTATAGGCGTTTCCTCTGGCAGCAATTGCAGTTTTAAGGGTTCTATGGAACCTTTCTCATATGCCATTACTTTGGGGATGAAAGGCTGAAGTGTGGATCTGATCAGATCTTAACAATCTATTGAAATGGCGAAATAATAGGGACTCGAATTGCCTTCCTTGGTGGTGTGTGATAGTGTGTGGTATACCAAATCTTGAAAAACGTTGGTTTAGTAATGTTGCGGCTATAGTAGATGTCGTAGTATCAGGTATTGGGTACGCTTCGGGCCATCCAGTGAAGTGATTTATGGCTGTTAGTACAAAAGAACAGTCTAATGAAGGAGTAAAAGGACGTATTAGATCTATGTGTACCTATATGTTCGAATCTACCAGTAGGTAGATTAAATTTCTGAAGTGGAGATTTTGTGTATCTTTGGATTTTAGTTTTGTGGCAAGGTATGCAAGTTTTACACCATGATTTTACTTGCTTGGTTAAATGTGGCCAAAAGAAACGATTTTTGATATTATTTAAGGTGGTTTTGAAACCTAAATGTGTTAGAGAATTCGGAATTTCATAGGTATACAGGGTGTATCTCAATGACTGCAACAAACTTCAAGGGTGATTCTTTAGTGAATTTTAAGGGTACTTTGGTATATGAACCATGGGCGACTTCGGCTCCCCTAAGGAGCTACACCCCTCCAAAAATGACGGAAAATTTTGGTTTAATTTTTTTTCTCAAAAACCATAAACGCTAGGAAAATGAAATTTCGGGAATATGTTTAACTCGTAATAGGGCACGTTTTGACCCTATTTGTACTTTCAACCTACCTAGTTGATATATCGAGTTTGTTTTGGGGTTTTTTCAGTGTTTGAAAAAAATGCGTTTATTAGAGGTAGAATGTTTAACTGCTAGATATATAGGTAGCAGTTCTCTATCGAATGTGGAATATTTCATTTAACCATTTGGTTAAATGACATTGGTCATCTTTTTAGAGAAGAAAGCCGCTGGTGGAAAGTTAGGCCAGTAAGAACTTCATTGATAAATCTCTGAAATGTTTGTGCGGCATTTCGCAAACCAAAAAGCATTCGAACACGAAAAAAACACCAAATAATATCGAGAATAGGAATTGCGTAAGACTACACCGGAATATATTCTCCAACGACTAAAATCTTTCAACGGTAGGATGACTAATTGTAAGCTGATATAAAAAAGCGTCGCTATGAATAACTGAATTGAGCTCAGGACGACCTCTTTTAACCAACAGCGGAACTATACAAATTTTTTTTGCACTTTTGCGAACATCACGTGATTGAACGGCGACCTTAATAAATATAATAGATAGAAA